CTCAAAAGCCATTTGTGTAACATTTTAGGAGATCAGAAGGTAGACACCAGGTTTTTCTACCAATTGTGGCTACGGTGGTTACCCCACAGTATTCACCAGATATTAGCGTTTGGAGCCGAAGACAGAGATATTGAAAAGTTAGCAGAAATTGCTAACAGAATGTATGAACGGATGTCGCCACAAGTAACATCTCTACTCGACAAATCGTCAGACGAATGCATAGAAGCACTAGAACGTAAAATAGACGTTCTGAATGGGCAATTAATGACGATGAGGTTCATTAGACAACCTATTACATCATACAGAAGACAACGTAGTCGCCCACGCAATTTACGTAAATATAGCTTACAACAACAAAAGCCAAGTACTTAATTTAAAAAAACTGTTTTAAATCATTTGGTTTACCAAAGCTATGCTCGAAAAGTACGTTGAAAACTCGATTCAGTCACTACATACATCTTCATACAGTTGACAATGAGGCACAACTATTGTTTGAGGGCTGATGGTATCAACTAAGTGCAGAAACTTTATTAGGTGGAGCCATGTTCAAACTCGTCACTCAATGATCAGTAACTGCACGCCTAGACCACTGAGCCACAAGAGGACTGTTCACCGAACTGTCCAGTCGAGTAATGAAATTTCTATCAGTGAACATTGTAGATTTTATACAGAAAGTAGACTGAAAGATACAGTTTTACAATTTGGTTGGTTCGTACTAAATTTTACTTTAATAATGGCCACATGCCAATCCACAGGAAATACAAGCATATGAAACTGACTTGTTCTGATTAATTAAGAACTCATATCACTAAAACGAACACTTCAGTACAATTTACCGAAATTTCCCTGTGGTTTGATCATGGTAAACAAGCCTTAATTGCCCAACAATTCACTTTTCCATTAATAAAAAGAATGCATAGTTTGTAATCAAACAGGTTACCATAGTTTATAGGTTTGTAAACTTCATTTATTCCCACAGGGCCAATGCTTACGGATATGCAAAAACCTTACAGACAATAGTAGAAATGGTTGTTGAAGGGCGGTAGATTAAAGTTTCAGTCAATATCGCCTATATTCATCTGGATAGTGTTCTCAATAGTACATATTACCTAGATTATATGGCAGTAGCACAGTGGTTGAATGCTTGCCAACCACGCATGTGGTCCGGGATTCAGTCCCCAGCCGACGCACTCCCTTACCTCGATAAGCCAGTAATAAGACTAGTATATAGGGAAGGTTAGACATGAGGTTAACAACTCCACCCCGTAAAAATACACACCACCGCTTTCTAAACTTCAAGCCGCTAGCTTTGAGCCCTATGTTTCAGTAGGCACGTAAAGGAATAAATAAATTTCAAAAATTACCTGAATAATCACTTTTAATTAAAATTGTTCCATATATACTATTTTATAATGCATACCTTAATATGGCTGAAATTTCCAACTAAACATTTAAAAAACAAAAAGAAGTTTAGGCAAGGAATATTCTTTGTGACTATAGGCATTTTTCCCATCATGGTCACTTTCTGACTGGTTTTCTACATGCACCAACTTTAGTTATCTCACCATACCACATGCTGGCTAATGGAAGCGGCAAAGTTCAACAATAGCGTCTCAAGGGATGAGAACGCTCGAGTGACCTTCAGCCAACCAATCATAAAAATGAGGACTTTTCGCACAAAACATGACGTATATTCACAAGAAAATGCACGAAAACACATTAAAGAGATAATCTTTTTCTGACATGACTTAGAAATACGTCCTAATTATGATGAAGAGTACCAGTTGCTAAGTTGGACTTGTTTCTGTAGATGTGTTCACCGAAGTGACTGAAGATGTGCTGTTTTGTGATTCGTTCATCTCTCTTCTCTTGCTGTGCAGTCCTCTCCAAAGCCCTCGGTTAAATTACTATGGTTTCAGTAAGAGGTTCAACGACAACTTACAAGGGAAATGAGAATAATGAAACAAATTGAAATAAACGACATTAACTATAAATCTATCCCTAATCGCAACCCTAACCTTAATCCTGACCCTAACCCTAAGCTCAACACTAGGCTTACCTTAATCCTAACCCTAATGACAATCCTTATCCTGCCGTAAACCTAACCCTAATCCCAATTATGACCGTCACCCTAACCCTAACCCCAATACTTAACTTAATCCTAATCCTAACCCTAACGAGATATTAACACATTGTCCAAACAGTAACTAAAAGTGTGATCTGGGTGAAACTTGCTCCTTATTTGATGAATAGCGTAGATATTTCAGCTATGATAATGGCAGGTTCCGTTAGCCAACTACTAGCATGCATTCAAAGTCATTGAAGCGTCCGCACTGCTGGGACGCTATTGTTGATCTTCGTCATGGAAGCTTTGTCCCTTTAAAGGACTCTTTGTGGAGCTTTTGGTCATTTTAACACGTACTTTTGGCATTTAAAAGTCTAGTAATATTTCCAGTGCAAACACAGAAGTCATTTTTCTTATCTTAGTCACAAATCCCCTTATAATACTGTTTGAAGGAGTAAATCTTCATAGTTCAATCCTCAGTTTTTTAAGTTATCTAAAGTATCTTTCTTTTCTTCCTGTCGCCCATACAACTTAATAGTAAGAGGATTTATAACCAGTTAGAGTTACAGAGGTTTTAAAATATTAGTTTGCAACTGCTTTTGTAATTCAAAATACATTCATCAGATACTAAAATTTCACCGTCAGATATCGTCAAGAAAGAGAGTGAGCAAGAGTGTACAGGGATTCAACCCATAAAAAGACAAAACACCAACAACTCAGCACTATACAAAAAAGCTGCCTACTAACATCATGCAAAAAGCTAAAATACAATACAACATTCCTGTTTGAGAGTAGGAAAGCAATGTCACACGTTCGCCTTCTATAAAAGCGACTAAGCAAGCCAATTTAATTAAAATTTACATCAGCCCACAAACCCAAGAAGTCGCTTAAGTCCATGAAAAAGGCAAAACGCATATGATCTATGAAGTAAATTCCATCAACTATGAAAAACATATACTAACCAGCGACTGGAAAGATGTCATTAAAAGCCCTATCGTCAAAAAAGGGAACAGGCAATCAGTATCTAACTACCTGTCGGGAAGTTTGACGTGCATTATAGCAAGGGTATTGGAAACAAATATAAGGGATCAGCAATTAGGTCATGTGGAAAAACATGGCTTGCTGGCTGTGGAACAGCATGGATTCCGACCAGGACGATTCTGCTAGAGATAAAAACCTTCGGTTGGACGTGGATTTTATCGATCTTAGTAAGGAATTCGTTGAAGTATCCCACGTAGGTCTCCTAAGTAAACTTAAAGGTTTCGGACTAGACCAATACCTATGTGAGTGGTTTAGGGACTACCTAATGCATAGAAGGCAGAAGGTTAGTGTTAGAGGTGTACTTTCAGAGTGGAAAGCAGTATCTTGCGGGGTGCTTCAACGAATCGCATTAGGTCCTTTGCTATTCCTACCATGCGTCAATGAACTACCGGGGATTCTTACTTCATCTTCATTATTATTTGCGGATGACATTAAGATCTGGAAAGCTGTAAATAATAGCCATAATAGGTCAGCATTACAGTGATCTAGATAAATTAGCTGAATTGACGAACATGTGGAGTGTGGAAATTAATTCTAGGAAAAGCGCGGTAATGAACCTCGGTCAGAAGTCTCATACGGCGTATTCCCTAGGGGACAGAGAACTACATGATATTAACGGACAGAAGAACCTAAGAATCATTGTCAGCAATTATTTGAAAACAACTGCAAATTGCACTGCAGACTCAGCTAAGGTTTTTCGAATGCTATGGGCACTCCGAAGAGCTTACAAACTATTAGATGAGTCTATGCTCAAAGTACTCTACGCAACGTAATTCAGATGTTAATTTCTATTTCAAATTAAGTCCGTATACGTAAAAAGTAGGAGAGAAATCGACAGCAGACTGATACAAATTAGTATACGAATACAATCAACAGATATCAGCTACTTTTATCATTTAAAAACACAAATTGATAATTAATAGGTGTTATCAGGAGTACATAAATAATGCCACGGACTGATCCAATATCCAATATCCTATATCCTGATGACGAGCTAGTATAAACCAGTGATTTCTTTGAGCTCGCTTCTTGATTGTGAGGTAGAGGTTCCAAATCTTCGGTGAGCTTCTGCGTAGTAAGTCCCGACACTCGACTGCTTTAGCTCTGGTAGACTCCAGGAGGAGTGGTGCGGGGATTGGTCGAGATGTGGTTTGTAGTATGCAGTATGTTAGGACTGTATTGCTGCCGTGAATGGAGTTTGACCTAACTCCCCTTGGTCATTCGGTGTAGTCATAAAAGCAGAATAGTAATAATAATAATAATAGGTTGTAGTGTAGATAATATAGGTTGAGATAAGTGGAATAATAAAGGTGACATAAGGAAAAGATAGAGTGAGAGAAGGCAGAATAGGTCGTGGGGATTTAGTTAGTACGCTTATTCATTGACAGTTTGGTTTCAAATTTTATGAGGATAAGCCATTGAGACACAAACCTTGCATTTCTGCATGATTGTCTAGCTTCCGCTTAAAAATCTCCACAGATGGCGCTGTAGTCACGGCCGCCGGTAAAGCGTTCCAGAGACGGCAAACACGAAGCGAAAAGAAATGTGATCGCACTCGAGTCTTTGGTCTCTGGTGTGCTATCCTTAGAGGGTTACTTCGTGGAAGCCTATAATCGCTTAATGGCAGGATGCTTTTATTTGGGTGGGCCTGGTCATTTAGGATCTTGTAGACGGTGATGAGGTCTCCCCTGTGCCTACGGTAACTGAGTGTGAAAAGACCTAATTTCTTTAGTCTTTCCTCATATGCTTTGTTGCGGAGGCCGATCACCCATTTTGTCGCTCGTCTCTGGACACTGATAAGTCACGTAGAAAAGCCAAACAAATGTATTCGCAGTAAAATGATTTAAAAATAGGGAGTGAGCTCTCCAAACAAAACAATACTACTATAACCCACCTGGCATCCTTGTGTCGAACGTAAACAAAAAACAAGACCTTCGAAACTCCGCCAATTGATTGTTTGCGGACGACCAGTTTCAAGGTTGTTGTTGCTACCGGAATCCAATGTTCAATAATCTCAGGTAATATACCACTATTTCGGACTCGAAAAATCATAAGCAGTAAGAACTTCTAAATTCTTCAAAGGATGACTAAAGATTATGCTGTTCTAAGGTCTGTTTGCATTTCTGGTTCTGTTCTTTAATCTCCCCAGAAATCCCAATCCTTTCAATTGATCGTTTGTCCTCTTCCTATGCATATTTAAGCAACTTCAGGTTTCAGAGGTTCATGGTGTTGAAATTCACGGATGGTACGATACATAGCAGTGCAAGATCTTACATTCACAACTTCTATAGTATTCGTTCTGCGTAGACAGATGACAAAGTAAAACAAATAGATCGTCCAAAATACGAAATATATTTCGAGACCGAACCCACAGTGCGAGGATGATTGCTTAAGTAGCTAGAGATCGTGCTCGAGCAATCGAACGTAATATAACAGAGTGCCGAATGGCGTGGATGTTGGCCGCAAGCCTCCAGCTAAACAATAGAGCTGAAACAGAGAATTTTAGCACCCAGTGTCCAGTGATGAACGCTGTTACTAATAATTCTGGGGGATAACCTACCAGTAAAAAGTAATCCATTGTTCACATAGTATTCAACCACTCATGCTCCCTGAAAATCCTCATGCAAATCCAGAAAAGAAGTTACACTTTGAATTATCTTTACTGGTTGTTAATCTATCTTGTTGCCAAAGGTCATGTACCGGAGTGATTGTTACGGCTAAACTTATGTGTTTTAATTATATGACTTTGTCTGATGGCGATTTCCAACGACTTAGTGACAATCTGTTGAAGTCAATTCATTTTCTTTTACTTCGAAATGTGTTATATATATATATATTATATATATATATATATATATTGGGGCACGTTCTACTCCCCTGTAAAAGCTTCTAACTACGTGGATGCATAGTACTTATTTGGGCGCAGTCTGTTCACTTGCTGACCACAAATATCCATGGGAATCGGAACGAAGTTTGAGTTGGTGCTTAACCCTGATAGTGAACTTGGTGAAGGGTTTACGATTTAACATTTGTACGGGCCTGTTCCGATTGTCTGTACTAAAACTCGACTATCAGACTTGAAAAAGTCCCATTAAAAATTATAACATACCTTATCGCGCCTGTAAAAATAGAATGCATTTCCTGCAAACTTGCTTATTTATACAGAATATAAATTACCAAAAGAAACTGGTGACATTTGTGAGTTTCCAGAAAACCAGCCAGTCACGCTGCTTGAACGACTTAGAACTCGCTTCGCGTTGGCTTGAACTGGAAATTACGTTCGTTACTGATGCGTGGACATCTGTCCTAATAAATCTTATCTGTGGCGTGACGCATGTAGTCTGTTTGCCAGGCTACTCTTAACATTTCCCCAATTACTGAAAGGAGAATGTGACGCTTACGGACACTGAAGGGCGTATTTACTGACGATTGTATAAACAGAGTTCGGAGATTAGCAGTCACACTGCAACTAAGCGGCTGTGCCTTTGTCCCTTGAAAACCCATTTTCTTCTTTATGTTTCAATCCTTACTGACAAATGAATTCACCTCTGAAGGTTTGATGGACTCCTTTGGCACTCTGCAAGTTCATCCATAGGTTTTACGACTGCGGTATTTCTCCATCTGGCGTCCGAATAATGGAAATAGAATTTGGTTAGTGCTTTCGTAGTCTCACCACTAAGCAGTTTGTTCTCTCCTACTTTTTGCGTTTACAAATTAACAGTAGGCTGAGATGAAGACCTATAGGTTCTTTTCTATGAGAACTAACTTCGTGGTGTTCCTGGATCGGGGTATCACAAAACCAAAAGTGAATGTGTTGTAGTGCTCTATTTGAGCAAACTAGCGTACACGTGTTTGCTAGACATCCACAAGGTTAATCAAAAGGCACTTGAGAAGGAGTACGAACGTGTATTATCGCAGTAACCGAAATTCGAAAGTTGAGGGAGTACAAAAGTACCCATTGTTGGCAGTTAGAGTGATAAACAATTCCAAGTCCAATTACATAGTGAAAGTATACTACGATGATGAGTAATAAAATGGATCACTACAAGTGCACTTCACAGTGAAAGTATAATCCGGCGAACAGTGCAAATAATATCTGTGTTTCAGGAAAGAAAGCTAAATGTTATATCAGCAAGCAAGACACCAGAGACATAGCAGGAGTATAAAATGATCTTTGTGAGAGAATAAGAATAACATTGTTAAATATTGCTATTAGCACATCTCTGACTGACTGCAAGATACAGTAGTCGATCCGAATTTTTAAATGTCTTTCTTCATGTTGTTTTGTGTAGTATACATTCAGGCATAGAGGTATTAAAGCCTACCATCATTTCACCTGTTTGATGAGACTTTTTGACGATGGAGATAGTAGGCCAAAACCCTTTACTCTGACAGTGCTTTACAGTCGTAGCTACGACATATGAATTCGTTGCAATTCTCCGCACCTTCTCAAGTTCATTTGTGAGTAAAGGAATCGCTTCACTAACAAGGGCCCTTGACAAGTTTTGAAAGTTCTTTGATAGCATTTTGAATTGAGGCTGGTAAGAAATCTAGACAAGGTCTATGATAGATTTAACACTTCAGCATTCACAACCTGTGCTGTAAAATAATCTTTCGGAATTACTTCCGGTGTGATGAAAGGTTGCAGTTATCAGCCCGTGTCAGCCACGTCTCATAAACCGTTAATGCCCAGCTCTTGCTGCACTCGGGCTCACGCTGTCCCTTGAAGTTTCTCAGAAACGCTTAGTAATAACGGACGCAAAAACCAAAACACCAATTGGCGACTCGAGGATTCTTTATTGTAACACCAGCATATAAACACTGTTACAACTAAGGTCTGCGAAGAAATATTACAATAATAAATCACAATATTACTTCTGACGGTGTTCTGCTAACTTCTTTCTGAACAGCGACCGATGAGACGATGACTGTCGTATTGATGCCTCCGCGAAAATTGGGGAAGTTGGTTTTGAGCGAACAACCATGAATTGATCGTTCAATCTTCAACTGTATTGACACTCCCCGGCAAAAAAGGGATCCAACCCCTTTTTTCCATCACGACCAATACACGTTGACTTGGATGCCATGGCGAGAACCCAGGTCACACGGACAGAGCTGAAATGGAAAACAAACAGAAAAGTCAACACACCACAAGCATACCCACAGCACAATCTCACACATCATTGACGACCTGCGCCTTCCAGTCAAAGGCATCCTCTTGACATCTTGCAACACAATCGCCACTTGCTAGAATGACTCTTGCAGAATGCAACGTGACCGCAGCAGCACCTCACGATACTCTACGCACATCCTCTTATCTACTCACTACCAATTACCACTGAAATCGCTTGTCACTCATTCTGCCTCAGTTCTAGTAGCGGTGACGCATGCGAGCCTCAGTCGTTTACACTCTTTCTCCCCGGCGTGTGGGACCGCAGCTAACAATTATCTCCGTGTGCATTTCATTCTCAGCTATAGCCTCCCCGGCGTATACGATCCATCTGCCGTCCTTAACATCATTCAATTCATTCACGGATGTAGAAGACTCGAAACAACTTCAGAAGTAAGCACGACGAAAATTTTAACAAAATTACGCAATAACTACAAGGTACGAAAACAACGAGTAAACACAATGAATCCAAAATCACCAATTGATATGACACACCACACATATATACATATATACACACAAACTCGCAGATCGTGTCTCGATGGAATTTCTTTGAAGAATCGCAGGACTTACACCAGTACGCCTACAACCCTTCTCAGGTTGACGATTGTAAGTTGTGGAATGTCCGGACACACACAAGATTAACCAACAATTACAATAATTGGAACTCACACAATTATTTAACACAAACATATGTACAATCAACACATCAAATGCTGTGGATTCTGCCTTGACGAACTACCTTTGAAGAACTGTAGGACTTACAGCAGTACGCCTACATTCCTTCTCAGGTTGATGATCCAAGTGGAAGTCGTCCGGACACAAACAGAATTACCAACAGCTAGATGACAGATGATATCAATTCAGTATATACAATATGAACATATGTACAAAATCACACACCAAGCACATTGGACTGCTCATTGATGCGCTACCCTTTGAAGAACTGTAGGACTTACAGCAGTACGCCTACAACCCTTCTCAGGTTGACGCCCTAGGTTGGAAAATCGTCGCAGAGTTCATTTGCTGATTTCCTTCTATCATCTATATCCTCAAATCTGAACGGTAACACGCTCATGTCATTGTATCGTAGAATATAGATGACGAACAAACACACGACGTATCTGGTCAACGAAGTGTAGGCACAGAGTAATTTACACCAGAGATAATAGCATTCAAATGGTAACTTAAAACTAGAAATGCCTTTATTCATGCAAGTCAATTTAACAGTTACCCTCTCGTTTACACCTGGCTTATCCTCACTAAACTGAGCAATATCTTTCGTCTCTTCAAACGCACCAATACTATCATGGTCATTGCAGAAGACACTTGTGTTGATTGGCGTCTGTTTCATTGTGGATGACAACACCAACGATGACTGATTGATACCAGTTGATGAAGTCAGCGGTGGATCAGAAGCTGTTGTTGTTCGGCTTTTAGAAGATTGTCTAACTGCAAGATTACCACCACTGCTGTCTTTCACTACTAGTTCGGGTTTAGCACTATCATCTGATGATAGGTGGGCTACATGCTGATCACTTACACTGACGGTCTCACAAGTATGCATGCCTTCTGCAACTGAATCTGCATTTATTTCTACTTCACCTTTGAGCTGTACAGAACCCTTATTTAACTTAGCAGTAGTAGGCATATCCCTCAACTCATCCTGATCAACCAAAGACAGATCTGCACTATCATGATCATTATCACAAATATTCAATCTACCATCAT